TATAGAAACCAACAAGAATGAAGTGAATGCTGCTAGTAACAAAAGTATAATGTGTATGACCCTCTGAACCCCACACACCATTGGGCCTGGATCCAAGACAGCTTAATATGCATTTGAATATAAGTGCTAAATACTATGAATATTACTTCTAAAGAATGATTTTGTGGAAAGAACTGGTCTTACATTCTTTTTAAATCATTGATAGCCCCAAACCCCTAAGAACTAAATATAAAAATCAGGAATGAAAAAGGAATAAATGAACTGAAACAGGACAGGCATATTTAGACCAATGAAGTTTCTTTTCCTCTTTAAAGTTCCTTGTTCCCTTTTGAGCATTTTCACAAAGAACCACCAGGTGACATAAAGCAGACCAATGATCTGGATAGGCCACAAGAAACCATATTATTTAATTCCAAAACACATAAAAGTTAGTTAGATTTTATTGTGTTTTAACCTGAGAAATTACCACTCTGCTCCTGGTTCCTGGATAATGTCAAAGTATATACAAAAATGTAAAATAAAGATATTAAGACTTCTGCAAAACACATCTGAGGCCCTAAATTTACCAATACTTTATTTCAGTTTGGGAGGTAGCTGAGTGTAATACTAAGCTAACGTTAGCAAATCAGGCTTTGACTATACTCCTGAGTTCTAATCTAACAAGTGTTACTAACAAGTAATAAGACTAAGACTACTGAGTTTCCTGAATAAACTCAGTAATAAGACTAAATATAAATTTTTTTTATCATTGGTGTAAAGCGGGGGAAAGGGTGAGAGAGGGAAGAAATGAGAAGACAAGCAAAAGTAACCACCAATGTTTACAGGCCATTGAATTCAATGCAGTTACACCATGGCTTAATTTTAGTCTGGTTTAGTCAGGTTCAAGAAGAAGGTTCAAGGGTCACCTGTCTGCACAAAAACCAAGCAGTGTGTCCTGTTTCCTGGGAGTGACGTAAATGGACTTGAGTCTAATTTCCTAATCAAACTTTCAACCAGTCTACAGTCTGAGACACAGTCTAGGCACAGTCCAGAGCCTACAAAAAATGGTATACTTCTTTTGCTCCCCACAAG